CACCTGTAATACTTTCAACAATAAAGATAAATTTAAAAAAAATAAAAATCAATATTAGAAATATCCTCAGGTGAGGATTAACGACGACGACAACAAAGGAACCGTTCTGCCCCCTGATACAGCGTCACACTGCTGCTCTACTCCCTAGCAAACAGGACAAGATTCAACGTGTCCCACATGGGAACCGTAAGCAGCTGTGTAGGACGTGGTCAGGAACTTACAACCCAGGGCTGCCCTTTTCCATTCAGCTCCAAGAGCAGAGCTGAAGGGCCAGGGGCCTGACCACACATACCTGGTGCCATGTGTCCTCCCTCCTCACTGTCCGAGGGTCTGGGGTGTCAAATTCACAGGAGGTGGCCAGGGAATCCCCGATACAGCCAGACCACTCTGCACCCTTTTCAGCAAATACAGTTGAGTTAGAACAGCAGACGACATAACTGATCTACCAGGACAGGAATTGGAGAGATTTTCACTAGCTATCTTCAGTATCTATCTACCGGCTGTGGTTTCCAGAGCTCCTGGCCACCAAATCGTGGACCCGGTTGGGTCCTTCCTTCTGCCTCAGCCCTGCCCCGGCCTTGGTCGNAAAAAAAATAAAAATCAATATTAGAAATATCCTCAGGTGAGGATTAACGACGACGACAACAAAGGAACCGTTCTGCCCCCTGATACAGCGTCACACTGCTGCTCTACTCCCTAGCAAACAGGACAAGATTCAACGTGTCCCACATGGGAACCGTAAGCAGCTGTGTAGGACGTGGTCAGGAACTTACAACCCAGGGCTGCCCTTTTCCATTCAGCTCCAAGAGCAGAGCTGAAGGGCCAGGGGCCTGACCACACATACCTGGTGCCATGTGTCCTCCCTCCTCACTGTCCGAGGGTCTGGGGTGTCAAATTCACAGGAGGTGGCCAGGGAATCCCCGATACAGCCAGACCACTCTGCACCCTTTTCAGCAAATACAGTTGAGTTAGAACAGCAGACGACATAACTGATCTACCAGGACAGGAATTGGAGAGATTTTCACTAGCTATCTTCAGTATCTATCTACCGGCTGTGGTTTCCAGAGCTCCTGGCCACCAAATCGTGGACCCGGTTGGGTCCTTCCTTCTGCCTCAGCCCTGCCCCGGCCTTGGTCGCTGCCGGAGAACACAGCAGACAGACGTGCAGGTCCCTCTGGTGTCTACCCAGCTGGAGGGACCTCGCCACTAAGCGTGAGGAGCTTCGCCGGGGCCCGGTGTGTGTGCTAGATCACGGGGGAGCAACCAGCCCCAGAACCTCACGTCACAAAGGAGGGGGACGTGACTTAAACCTCAGGATCTGCCTAACCCGTGTGTCTCCGCGCCCACACCAGGGCCTCCCTTGGCTGTCTCCCGAGGACGGGAAGAGTTTCCTATTCCCCTAGGAGAGCGACCAGCCTCGCCAGCTCGCTCCATTCCTTGTAGCATGAGGTGTGATAACGTTCAGCCCGTAGTCATCACAAGTCATTGCAGGGGAAACTGGGAAGTTTCGCGCTGCCCTTACTATAAAAAGGAAGGAAAAGGCCATAAATAACAAGTCAATAAAGTAAAATAAAAAATTCTATTTCCTCTCAGATGAGTAGAAGAAAGAGCTGCTGGATTTTCTAATTGTGGAAAGTGTGGTCCATGATGCATTTCTTGGGTCCCCCGAAGACATGAGATCACTATTTAAAAAGCTCAAGGCCACTATTAATGACACAGACACGTCACTGCCAGCCCTGGCTGCTGGGAACCAGGCATGCACACGGCTCTCGCCGAGGGACATCGCATTTCTCTCTCTGATGAACCGAGGGTGGTTTGGCCTTGGGGTAAGCTATCTTCCCAGACAGCCGGCACTCCGCACAGGAGGAAAGCAACCTACAGACATGTCTGGATTCTGAGGCCTCACCAGCCATACGCCAGAAACATCAACTACTTTTCTCTCTCGAGTTCAGGAATATTTTTCTTTGCCAAAATCAAGATTTGGGGGCAGCTGGGAAGGCTTATTTCCCCCGGCCTGGCAGGAAGCAGCTGGCCACTTTGCAGCTTTGGACTTGGAGAGGTTGAAAGACATTCTCCAGACCCAGCTCCAGCCTCTGCACAGACAGGTGCCCAGTCCTCAGGACGTGCCCAACAGGCCTGCAGGCTCGAAACCATCCCAGCCACACCGAGGCCTGTGTGCCCAGCGCCACCCCGAATGAACGGGCTTATGTTTAGAGGGGACATGTCAGTTGCAAACGACTGTTACTGTACCAAATATGCCCTTTCTTCCCCTCAGCCATTCAGTGGTAGTTAACTCCTCCCCACAGCTAACTACCTTTGAGTTCAAGGCTGCAGGTTTTATCATCAGAGACCTTCAAGTGCCCTGGGCAAAGCCCACCAAAGTCGTACACGTCAGCCTCCCACCGGAGAAACAACTCTCTCTCTTCCTGTAACAGGCCTCACATGCCCCTGCTCTCATAACCTCAGCGTCCTCAATTTTCTACCCCTTTGCCAGATATGACCGCCCACCCCCATCCCACCTCCCCCTTAAGACACCAAGGGCACCTCTAAAGCACCTGTGACCACCGAGAGGGGCAGCTGCCCTGGGCGCCAGAGAGCCCGTCCCAGCTCCAGCAGGTCTGGATGAGCTCCCGACGCTCTGAGTTTCTGCATTTAATGAATGGAGATGTTAGCATCTCTCTTTCTGGGCTGTGGTGTGGCTCAGGGACAGGATGAAATACTCTAAACTGAAAACTTCCATGGCAGTTGTTACTTGGCATCAAGGCATTTCCAAGAATGAGATGGTCACTCCCTTAAAAAGCGGCTAACTCTCCCTGGGCTGCCCTGTGATTAAAAGAATCTTACTCTGTGCGCTCACACTGGACCCTTCCTGGCTCCTATGTCCTGACCTTGGGCCACCATCCAGAGCTACTGAGAGAAGTCTGCGCCCTGCTACAGAGCAGGTCTCCCACAGCCAAAGACACCAGCAGACGAGCCTCTAGTTCTCCTGACACCCCCTCGACTGCCAGGGCTCCACCCCTCGCCGCTCGGCTGCCCTCTGCCTGCACCGCACACCCCGAGGGCCCAGAGCTCCATACCCGGGAGGGCTGGGCTAACACTGCCCACAATCTGCACACGCTTCTCATGGTGTGGTTTGCGATTCTGCTGACGTTTAAGCGGCTCTGTTGGCACCTAATGAAACAGCGACCCCTGAAATCTCCATGCCTGGGATCCCACAGGCGGGTGCCCTCCAAGGCCCCCGGCGGTTCTGTAACCTATCGCAGGCTTCATACTGGGGTCTCACAGCCGGGTTTGCACCAGCGTTCCCAGCGGCTGAGATCATTTAACATCAGTTCACCCATTCAAACAATGGAGAAGCATTTCTCCGACATCATCACTCGCATCAGATGCCGAAAAGCAAAACAAGAGTAAGCACAGCGACGGGGCTGCCGCCTCCTGTAAAGCGGCACTGTCCGGTGCGCAGGGGTAGCCACAGGTGGCTACTAGGACCTGAGTGTGCCTGAGCCGCAGAGATGTGCCGCATCTGTCAACACACACTGATCTCAAAGACTGACTACGGAAAAAGTGTAACCTATCACAGTGATTTCTTAATACTGGTTACATGTTGAAATAACACTTTGGATATATTTAAATATATTGTGTTAAATAAAATATGCCATTAATTTCAGCTGTTCCTCTTTACTTTTCTTTCCAGTCAGGCACCAAAGATGTTAATGATGTGGCTTACGTTGTATTTGTATGGGACGGCAGCCTGCTCTAGAAATCCTTCTTTCAGACATCGTCGGTCTCTTTCAATGTGGTTCATCTGCTCTGAACTGTTTCATTATTTCCCAGTTCACAGATCAGTCTTATCCATGTAAGTATTCTGTGAAAGTTTTGCCAAAAGTTACTAATCCATAGTCTCCACATATTTCCATATCCCAGCAGCCTTTAGGGAGGAGGCACACTCACTGACTCCTGGCCTCGCTGCCGCCCGGCAGGCTGCTCACGACGGCAGGTCACCGCTTCCCTCTCCTACCCCTAGTCAAAGGCCAGTTTCTTTAGGCGCTGATCACCTGCTCAGGGAAAGGAATGAACATAAACAGGCACACGCCATTCTTGCTGTGCAGGAGGGAAAGAACTCAGCAATTAAGGACCTGCCTTAAATTCACATTCTGAGAACAGAGGCCCCCAACCGATGTTCACCAAGTGCACGGAAATGGCCAGTGTGCCTGGGGTGGCAGAACCTTTATTTAGGATCGTTATTCAGATGACCACTCACACCCAGGCCTTGATTTGCGTCTGGATGGCAGGGGCCTCCAAACAGGACTGGCTTTGGGACTTGGCATTGGTAAGACCTAACATGGCACCGTAGCTCTGTCTCCCACCCATCCTACGACCTGGGTTATGTCACCTAAGTTCTTGGTCTGCTCCCTTCACACCACACACTGTTCCGGGTGTTGGTGGAATCAAGATAATCCCGTAAGACCTGCCAGGCCACTGCCACACCTGGTTCATGCTCCCTTCTCTGAGCCATCCCCAACCCCACCATGTCCCAGGCCATCCAACTGTGCCACAGAGGGTGGGAGCAAGTGCTAGAAACAAGGTGCTCCTTCCTCCTGCCACCAGTGAGTGGCACTGCCCTGGCCACTTATTTCCTTAGGTCTCTGAACGTCACAGTTGAAGGGCCAGGGTCAGGCTCCAGGTTCTGGTCAGTGCCAGAGGCCTCATTCCATCACCATTTCATTTTTCTGTTCCTCCCTTTACATTACTTCTTTCCTTCCATTAACAGAAGTATTTGCATTGGGAGCTATGAGAAATGTTGCTCTTAAGCCTGTCAATAAGGAGACGAGCAGGATATTCTAGAGCTGTCCGTCATGGCTTTTTTGAAACCGCCCTCCCCGAAGCCTGTACCTGCTGCAGCTGTGGGCCAGGAAAGACAGCTGTGCTCCGCAACCGGCCTCTAGATCCAGGGTCAGCACCAGCCCGGAGACAGATCATCTCACGATCATCTTGTACGGCAATTGGAACAAGAGATCCAGAGCTTACATGGGTAGCTTCAAGCCGGGGTTGCACAGCCTTGAGCACTGGGGACGGGTGCAGTGCCTGTGACCAGAAAAGGTGCAGTGCCTGTGACCAGAGCCACAGGCCAGCAGATGTTATAAGGGAACAGAAAACAAGAGCCAAAATGCACTGGACGCAGAGAGAAGAGACCCCACAATCTCAGAGAGAGAGAGACAGGGCAGAGATGGAGACACAGACAGACAGACACAGACAGACGAGGGAACACCTGCCCTGACTCTCATTCCTATAAAGCCTCACCTTCCTGCTGGTGGCTCCATAAGTTTCCTCTGTTGTTTGCCAATGATCCCCGTTTATTCTTGAGCTTTCGCTTTCCTTGCACGAGTTTCTGCACCTATAAGCAAATCAACTTCAACGAAGACACGTCTCCCCGAGCATCATTCCCTCGGCCCTTCGTGGCCCCAAAGGCTTCACGAAAACAGCGGCACCCGCTGACACGTGGGCCTCGGCTCACACGTCCTTCACAAAACGACAACACACAAACCTCTGCCCACCCCGATTGCTTTTTCTCAATAAGAGTTTATTGCAGGTTGGGTACACTTGTAGGAGGCAAAAATCTAACAATGCAAAGGAACTACAGGGCCCACCAGTTTAGAAGATGAGCATGTAAAACAAATACACTGATTATGTACAATTATTAAAAAGAGCAGATGGTGGAAAACAAGGAAAAACTGCCAGCAGCCTTCCCAGAGGTTAGTCACAAGGGGGTCCGGGGAGCACCTCCCGCCCGGTCCGCCTGTGCCGGGCAGCTCCTCGCTGCTGGTGCCGGCTCCAGGGAGGCAGGTGACACACACGGCGCAGGGCGCCCAGGCCGTCCCGCTCGCCAGGGGCTGGCCGCCGAGCCAGTGCTGCCCCATGCACCAGGCCCTCCGGGAAGCCCAGAGGACAACTTTATTAGCATTTTTAATCCATATGGGGAGAGAGTTGGAGGAAATGCACAATGTCCAGGGAAGAAAGTGACCTTCCCCTGTGGTCTGTGTACAAATAAATACCCAGTGTTGTCTTCAGTGAGCCCAGCACCCCGAGCTGTGTGGTGGCACCTGAGAGCCCCTGGCAGCCTGGGTGGGGTTCGTGTCCGATGACCAGACTGTCCCCTCGGGTGCTCGTGTCTTCCACGGGAAGGCCAGTACCCAGCCCGTCAGCAGGGGACAGTGCCCTGTCGCCTCTCACAGGACACCCGCCGAGGGACAGGTGAGTTCTGTCCTTGGTAAGAAAAAGGAACAGGCCTCGTTTACTTAAATAAGGGAGGGGTCTTGGCTCCTCTGAAATGTTTCTATAAAAATGCAATAAATGCTGGAAAAAAGTTGCACATTCTTCTGGTGACGCCATAAAACATCCGTGGAACTGAAACTCAGACAATTTAAAACAAGCTGCTCGGAATATCCGTCCCCAAAGCTGAGGCCGCGTGTGGCGCCCCCGGGCCCCGGAGGGCAGAGCCCAGAGTGGGAGCCGAGGCAGCGGGGCGGTGCCAGCGGCCAGCAGCCCGCGGGCCAGTCCCTGCGGGTCAGTC